TGTTTGATTTTCGAGCTACTGCACTTGATTGAGTCATGATTTTGTTGAGCAGTTGTTGCTACGAGTGAGCCTAACTTTACGGAGAGGTGCATGATTGGCGACGAATCAAAACTACAAAGCTATCCGAGGAAAAACCTTTTGTGATATTCGGCCTCTTGCAATTGCTTGGTGAAGCTTAATGGTGAAATACATCGAGTAAGGCATTTTTTTGCTCTTGGTTTTTTCATCAGTTGGTTTGCGCAAAAACTACCGCGTTGGGCTACCCTTTTGTGTTGCATTGTCTTCCCGATGGACAACAGCGAGACAGAGAAAAGGGCCAGGGAGATAAATACAAGGGACGTCGGAATGGTTCGGATAACGAGGGTAATAAAAACCACTAATTTTTCTCGAAATTTCTCGGAAGGTAAAACGAAAGCCTGTAGTTTTTGCCTTCAAGTACAGTATACACGGAGACCTGGTGGGTTTTTGTTGTTGTTCAATAAATCGATTATACATGGGGTATATGTGCACAAGAACGAACGAAAGTACGTAATTTTCAGGGTTGTTATTACTCGAGAAAGTGAGATGATGGTGTATTGATGTAATTTCAGCGGTTTTTTTTTTCCAAAAAAAAATCTTAGCTGACTGTTTTTTCACTACGAGCTGTTTGTATAGTATTCGTGTTCGTATGTATTCAAAGAAACAGAGGTTGTCGTAAAAACTCGATTGTTTTAGAAACGAATGGGATCTTTTTTTACTGTATGCTGTACAAGGTACAAGTAAAAGAGTAATTACATTGGTAATATGGTGTGAGGAGATGATTCTTTAAAAAGCTTATAGCTATCAATAAGTTCTACAACAAAAGCTGACATGAAAAAAAAAAAAAAAAAAACTACTCGATCCGAAATTCAAGGATACAAATAAATAATGCTCGATGCTTCATCAGGTAGATTGTACATCGCGCAAAAAATTTCTCAAATCCTGTAAAACAAATTTCTGTATTATTACTATTACTGTTACACATTCGGTGAGCAAAAGCTCGGAAGAAAAATCACCCAGCTTTGCGTGTATACACAACAACGCGCAATCCAAGCGGGCAAAAGGAGAGGCATTTTTACTCATCAGCGTGCGAATGTATATATGGTCCAGAACTGCGCTCAACCCTTTCCAGACCCCCTCGCTCGCCCCATCAGCAGTGCGAGACAAAGAGATAAAAAGAAAGAGAGGGCGCGGGTGGGGAGGCGTCCGGCGTACCCCCGCAGCGACTCGGAGGAGACGGTCGCCATGGAAACGCGCGACGACCGCGAGAGGGCGAGAACGGGGCGAGCCACCCAAGGGTAAGAAAACCGAGGCCAGCACGGAGGCGCAGGGGGTGGGCAAATGAGAGGGGTTTTATTTCTTCATAACGTCGGCCATTATCGCCCCTTCCCCCTCCCACCCTCAGTTACGGAGTTTGCTCAAGTTCGCTCATTATGTCCCTGCAGCGGAAGAGAATATTCTTGTTTTAAAAATAATCGCCGGCCAAACGAACGAAGAGAGAAGGGGTGGAGAAAAGAAGGTGCTCCAGCGCGCTAATGGCGCCGTTTGTAATTGGAAAAAGTCCGGGGCGCCGCTGCTGCCCATACTATCGCCCGCGACGGCTTTTATACGACCTTTTTTCCCCTCTCCCTTCTCCCGCTTCTCTCTCGCCCCCTTCCCTCCCGAGGGTGGGGGGACGTTGACGCGTATACATACCGCGAGAGAAATCCTGTAATTTTTCCACCCTTCACGAGCAGACTCATTAATTTTAGTTTTTTAATTAGTAAATTAATTAGAACGGGCAGCGGCAGCTTTTTCACCCCCCCCCCCCTGTAGTACCGTGATCCTACATTTATTTGTAGTTGCGAAACTTTGGTACGTTCTCCCTATTGCTGCTGTTGATCCTTTCTTTTTTATTTCGCGTGATTCTAACCCTCTCGCGTATACAACGCAGGGAGAAAAACGTGACATTTATTAGTGAAAACTAGTGTTTACCATTTGTTTTTCTTCTTCTTCGTGATGTAAGCAAGAGTCGAATTTCATGTAAGTCAGCAGTAATAATTACAATACATTCGGGCAATATACGATGCAATATAAATTACCGAAGCCGCGCGTGCGGGCGATTCTCGGCGCAAAAATTTCTTCCACCAGGCCGTGGGAGGCACGTGACTCGAGGCGAAGGCGGGGGTTGCACGCCGTTGCCGGTTATACGAGACGAACGAGACCTGTTTTCCATATCGGCGATTCGCTTGCACGCGCGAGGGGGTTGGCTGTTAAAAAATTGATGGCCAAGGGCGGGATCGCTCCGGGGGAGGGTGGGGGGGGGCGCTACGCAAACTAGATTCAAAGCCGCATCTCGTATTCATGGTTGGTGGGCCGAGCCAGGGAGAGGGAAAAACAGCACACGCCCGCGTGCATTTGCAAACGACATTGGAATGAGGTGGGCATTATTTATACGCAACACTTGGCGAGGGAAGGAAAATCGCCTCGATTAACTTTGGAAAAACGTGGCAACGGTAAAATTAAAAAAGATGTATACTTACTCACACTTTTTTCCTATATTACACGTGGAAGCATCCTCATAACAACATGCCACCCCCGTATCATCGCACCATCAGCTCGAGATAAAATCCGCCGCTTGTTATTTCCCCAATACAACAGAGGGAGCTTGTACAGTGTGGTACATATATATATATTATAGAGGGAGAGAGCGCCAGAGTTGTGGTCGGACCACAAACTCCGGGACGTTGTGCGCGGGGGAGGGATGAATGTTTAACGAGGCCAGCAGGGCTACCCAAGGGCCGGAGGAAAGGGAGTCATGGACTTTTGGATTATTTTTCGCTTTTATTACGTGTACACGCCACACTATACGTACCAATGCACGCCTCTTATGAATTGTTGAGTGTGTTTGGGTATATGTATATGCTCCTTGGCCCTTTTTCGCGCTGCGCCCCGTGCGGTGTACGCGCGTCTCGTTGCATTAACAGGCGGAATTTCTCGCTGACAGGTTCCCTTTACGTATTTAAACGCGTATAGCCGTGTACATGTCTCGCTCGTGCATCATTGATCGCGGGGAGGATGAATTTTTCATCGCGTGCTCTAATTCGCAGCAATTAGGGGGTACGTATATATACATCTATATATACACAATACACTCGTTGCATCTCTCGTTGTGCTGAATGATTCACGTACGACGAGCACATTGTTTTTATCGACGTCAATCGGCATCATCGGGAAGGCCGGTGAAGCGAAAATCGACGCGTTTCTTGAAAAATTCACCGCAAGAAGAAAGGAGTCGAGTATAATAGCGCGCCGGCGAATAGGCGTTACACACACACACACACACACACGAGTTCTCGTGTTGAATATCCCGGAGGCGCGGACTCGAGTTCATGGTATATATGTATGTATATATAGTTACGACTGACCTTTATGAATACTAAAGCTCGGCCCGCGAGTGGATGCGCGTACACACATAGCTTCACATGGCACGCGATACGTGCAACACTGACAGCGGGGAGAGAAAAATCGGAGCTCGCCTTAATAATAAATGGCCCTCGTCTGCGCTTCATCGGACCCGTAAAATCGGAGCCAAAAGCCTCTATACACACACGTTACCTTTCGCTCCTCCTTTTTCTTGGCCGACGAGAATCACTTTGCCCTCTCTGGGAATTTCCGTGACGACGCGTGATCCTGGCTGTGTGGTTTGGCGTGTAGAAGTCGAGAAGGCAATGTGCGATTTCTTTTTCTTCCTTTGCCGATAGAAAAGTTTCAGTTTTCCATTCTTGCCGATTATACCTGTAACCAATAAAAAAAAAACAAAAAAAAATCAACAAACAAAAAAATCATAAATCGTAATATTACAAAGGGTCTTCCATGCAGCTATACCGAACCGATCGCAACGCTTCCAAAGCTGCGGGCCCAATTACTCACCCCGACGATCGCCCAATAACGCACAATATATAATGTGACGCAAAACAGACCCCAAAAGGATAGAGAAAGAAAAAAAAAAGAAATGTAAGACACCCGCATACTGCACTCGCCGCGCCACCCTCACTTTTCCGGTAACAATCGGGAATGATGGAGCACGCTACTGATGATTGAGCCATCCGCATTATATCCCGAGAATCGGTGAAAAATTCCAGACGCGCGCATATGTTGTCGCATAGGTGTATTAGACCCGAGGAGGAAGAGGAGGAGCTGGCGGGGGTAATGTGAAAAGTACACCCCACGCGGCCTTATCGTCGCTGGACAGGCCATGTTATTTTATACATACATATATATATATATATACATGCCTACACCTACCGCGCACAATGCCCGTATTATATACTTTGCGGATACATAAACACATATATTCCCCCGACGAGGCGATCGGTATGGAGCCCGTATTGAAATGTGGCTGGACGACGCGTGGATTATCTGAATACGGATAGCCTCTCCGTGGGTGTGTGGGGGTAAGGGAGTGTATAGTCCAGGGTGAGTTGCAGCCCCCCAGGGTGCCGTATCTGGCGCGTGGGTGGAGAAAAGGAGCCACCGCCAGAGGCGCACGGGGTGACCAGCACCCGCAACTGTGTATATATATATTATAGGTATATATACGCATACATATGTGTACGTGACTGACGTATAGTGGTCATCGTTTTCCCTGGAATTACCCGCCATCTCTTTGCTCGTACGGTGTAGGTGGGTGTATTATATACTCCGGCGTTTGCGCTCGAGGCACCAAATAGATTATTTGAATATAAGATCCGGTGCCGCGTGGGCCGAGGGTACGCCGGACAATGATGGTTCCCTCGTTCTCGGGGAAATGAGTTTCTAGGACAGTAGGGGACTTTGGCTGATTGGCCCGGGGGTGGGTAAATAATGCCCATCGGTGAATAACGAGGTATGGGTACATTAAACTCGGACGAGTTTGTCAATGTGCCTATTCGGCTAACTTTTTATATACTTTTGAATTGTTCATTGCAGTGATTTTTTTCTTTTTTTCCCCTCTGTTGCAGCTAACGATACGCTCAAACGGGAAAAGGACCATCCGCCGTCCCCGGAATCGATGCACGGTGAGTACATTTCTTTGCATATTTTGGAGCATCGGTCAACTATACACGACACTTGGTGACTTTCAATTCGTTATACATTTTTTTAACAAACATATTGAGTTACTGAATCCAAGCTTCATTCATGCGATCCTTTTGAGATAAATCCACATTACCATTTGCCTTTCAAAAGAACTTCGAGGTAATTCATAAAACGAGCAGTTTGCAGAAATCTCGTTTCCCACCGTTTTGAGGACCGTATCCTTTCAGTGTGTCCATTAAAAAAAAAAAAGAGTTAAGAAAACTTAAGAGCCGAAAAAAGGGGGTGGCGCAACCAAGTGACGCTTATTAGCAGACCCGATACAACTGGGGCCAAGTGTTGTGTAGTATAGTCAACTCACTGGACACATTATATTTGTATACAGTACTATATGTTACAAGCACACATGAACGCACTCGAAACCCAGAGAAAGCGTTAACTGGACAGTGTAGGTATGACAGCACATTTCAGCGAATCGGCCACGGCTCAAGTACACACGCTCCCGTTAATTTCGTTTCCCGTAAAGTACGTAATAAAGACAATTATTAAACGCGGGGCGCCTGCAGTTTTGTTCTCCCTAGTTGCACTTGGGGATTTTTTTTTTCTTTGTTACCACCAACCAAAAACAACAACCATATATATATACAGTAAAGACAAAATCAGCTCCTCGCTCGCGGCACCGCCCCACATCTACCGCACCTCTTTTTTCAGTAATTCGCTCGTTCGTCCGAGATTCGAGCTCTGGAGCGTACTTTGCTGGATCATATACGATAGGGTATAACGCACGCGAAGAGCCATAAAAGAGACGCTCGCGTATATTTTTGCAATGCCTTTAACCAAAGCCACGCGAACGAGCTGGTTCCACGGTGTGTATAGCGATAATCGATGGACAATTTGTGATTTCGGCGCACAAAGCCCCCGGGCTCTTTCTATTTCTCCTTCTGCTGCTCTTCCATCATTACGCCACGCCATCGTCCCATACTCCTGTGCGAGTTTCCTCCTTCTTGAGGGCTGGAAATTATGTTTTTTACGAAATTACGTGTACGCGATGATTCCGCGTAAATTCTCGTATTGCGCACGACTCGGTTCTCAAAATTTTTACGTGTTCGTTATTTACAGTATAGGGGAGCCTACTCAGTTGATCGGGCTAACTCGAACAGCTGCTTATCGTTTCTATACCGATAATTAGCTTGATTTTTTTTTTTTTTTTTTTTTTCGTTAGAAAAAAAAACTGCAAGGTATACGATACATTATCCGATTTGGAATAAAAATTCCAACATGAAAATTGGTAAAGTCAATGGGCATCTTGATGTTTCTGTATATTATGTAGTAACAAAAGCCTTGTAATAACGACAAAAATTTTGCTGAGTAACACCTGCTCCTCGCAGGAGACTCGAGCCACCGGTTGTATGACGTACGCGTTTATGTACCCGCGCCAGGCGCTGTCGCTCTTTTTACGAGGGTCACAGTGGTATATGGACGTGCCTAGCTGTTACTGGTATATTTCACTTTTGCGCAAAAGAGGGGTGTGTATGAATGACGTGTGGGCTTGCATCGTCGTGGTACCTATACAGATACGTGTGAGGGAAAAACGGAGGCGCAAAGGTACGTAAAAAGTGCTTGACTTTGAAAAATGAATCACGACAGGGAAGGGGATCGACTGTCGAGACTTTTTCTCTTATTTTTAGTCGCGAGAACACCATGTTTCGGAGCTCGATTTTGTTTTTATCGACCAAAGATGGACATTGATGGTGAAATCGATTGGATGCTAAGTGACTTTCGTGTATTGTTTTTACTTTTTTTTTGTGCGATCAACAGGTTGGAGGTAAAGAAATCAAGAGAAGCCTACTAATACATCATTTGTTGAATAACAAAAAATATTACCTATGAAAATAAAGACAAGTCGAAACCATAGTAATGTATTCACGCGTATAAGATGGAAAAAGTTCAAGTATTCTCGCGTAGAACGGACTGGCTCTTGGAAATCTCGAACCGGTAAGGTAAACAGCTTTTCTTCTCACTAATCTGACTACAAAAATACCAAACTTGAAGTGCAGAGTCCGACGTGATTGTACCATTTCTCCGAAGAATATTTTTTCATCGCACATTAATTTGTGCTCCAGTTTGCATTTACATAAAAAAAATACATTATCATTTACTTAATCCAGAACAGTTGATCCATAACTTTAAAGGAGTATTACCCTACAAGTACAAAAAAATAAATCGGCCACTGTACAAAGATCTGGTAATCCCAGTGTTCATTAATCGAAATTTTTTTCTCGCAAGAAAGAGAGAGAGAGAGAAAGACGATGGCACTACAAGTGTTTAGTCATGCGAGTGGCGTGCGCGAACACCTGCTTCTCGAATATGGCTAGGTACGAGATTCCTCTCCGGCTCCTGGCACTTGTCTTTCTCTTTCTCTTACACACGAGTGCTCCTCTCGTAGAGCACACACGAGGTATACCCACATAAACGTACTTCAGCGCTCGTACTCGCGAGATGGACGTAATTTACGTCACGTATAAACTTCCGCAACTCGCTCCGTGAGGGAGAACAAAAAATTTGAATGCACGTACCCATGTGGTGGGGAGAAAAAACATCTCCTCCGTGAGAACGACGCCTATAACGGTACACCAGATTGAAGCTTTTCTTCCGATTTCATTGAGAAATTATCCAGGATCCAGATTCCTTCTTCCTTACGCATGAAACTTGTCATTGACACATCGATTTCGAAAAATAAAACGCACGCGTCGATTGTGGAGCCAACCAACGTTCCAAATCCACGACGTGTTCGTCAAAACACACGCAGACACGTACGCGGGGCCAAAATCGAATGACTTACGTGCAAGAGCGACTATGGACCGAAAATGCAGTCAGAGCCCCCCACCTTGGTCCAAGGGGTGACTTTGTTATTCAAATCCAAGGCGGTCCAAGCGTCTTTCAATCGCAAAAACGCTTCCTGCCAACTTGATATATTATTCCCCCTTCCCCAATCGAGGCGCGTGACCACTTTTCTCGCCCGCCTACGCAAACACCTCGTGCCTGCAGAGGGATGAGGATAGGTATGTGTGGGTGTTTTTTCTTCTTCCCTCGAATTCAAATTTTCCCGATCGGGGACACGCGGAGCTTTTAAGGCTCCCTTTCGGTCCAACTCGCTCTGGAGCTCCTGTGTATACATGCAAGTCAGGTCTCACGGGCTTTTTTTTTCTTCTTATACCATTGAGCTATACCTTGTACCATACCGAATAGCGGCTTTTCCAGACGAGCGAGTAGTTTGCCTCAATTACATCGAAATACCACGTGCGTGTGTTTGAACAATACACCATACCTATACCTATACCTACTATGTTCGACATAATGTTCACAGTATATTTATAATATACCCGTACCCAATAGAGTGGTTATCTACATGTATTTATAAAATTACCCCCGGAGAGTTTTCCCGCGCCAACATATATGTGTATATGCAAGGTAAGGGGGGGGGGGGGTCTCGAGTTCCGCGTAAATTGCGCTAAATAACTTTATTCGCGTATAATACGGTGTGCATTATCAATTCGCGCGCCCCGACTATATGTAGTTACGTACCCAATCGACAACCCCATCCCTATACAGTCCGATGTACGCGAAGTGATACATCGAAAGCAGAAGATATTCGAGCGGCTTTCCGAGAAGCGTTTTCGAGAAAACGAGCGCATAATGGATCCGATGTCTAAGATGCGTGCAGCGTAGGTATACGTTTTATAATATGCGCTCACGCGAAAAAAGGGGGCCGTTCTAATCGAAGATGCGCTTATTATTATTATTATTTTTTTTTTTTTTTTTTTTTTAGTGCATACACGCGATAACGTGTGTACAAGGGGAGGTTGAAAGAGACGCGGTCGTTAGCGAGCTTTTCTTTAATTTCCAGCGCCAAAAGCGAGCAGTGCACAAGGTAGGTACACATGTAAGATGTATACGGCACGTAAGAATATACACGACGCTATAATCGCGTAAGCAGAACCGAAGAACGAGATGCGAAGGGGAGAGAGAGAGAGAGGAGCCTTCCGCGAAACATTCGCTCTCGCGAGCATCTTCTCGAGTACCCGTGCATACACGCGTCCGCGTATAATCCCCTACTGGAGAGTATATATTCCAAAGACGGAGAAAAGGGGAAACGAGACGCGAAAAACACTTCCAGGATATGGTGTTTTCCTTGATGCTTGTATACGCTGCTCTTCTTCAAAGGTGCTGCTGCTGGTGGTTGTCTCTCATTGTATCACGTGCGTATGCCCACGCGAGTCGTTCTCTGCATCCGAGAGTTTGGTTTTTATAAGTGTACAGCTCAGCGTTGGATGGCCTTTTTCAGGATACACGACGGAGCTGATTGAGGAATTACGAGGGAGTTTGTTGTGTTTTGCTTCGATTGCTCGGAAAAGTAAATACTTGAATAAACGCGAGCTCTTGATTGAAGAGCACGTTTGACGCGTCGCGTTTCGAGGATCAAGTGAAACGAGCACGTTCTCAAAGCGTGTGCTTGAAATTACTCTATTATACATGTACAATGCACTGTTTTATGTTTCACCAGTTTTTATCCGCAACCAAACAATTTTTTTGACAAAAGGAAATCAATGTACAGATAGTAAAACTGTGTGTTCGAAGTGGTTGGCGGAACATCGTTTTTTGTTGTCATGCATTTGGGAAACGTGTGAAAATTTGAATAGCATCACCCTTTGGATCGACAGTGCACGCGGATGCGCAAATTGAGATGATTCGGAGAAAAAAAGCCGATGGCAAAAACTTTCACATGTTTGAGAGGAAAAAAAAAAAAATTGCCGTGCACGTATATATGGGTATGTGCATCTCCGATGTCGGGTGGCGATGAGACGTCAAAAGTAACGCCGTACATGTACACATGCGTGCGCTCTTTATTCGGTGCCGCAAAGGAAGGAAGGAGGAAAAAAAAGAGGAGGAGAAAAAGAAAGAGCCGCGAAGAGCAATTAGCAAT